TATATATATACACATTAATTGCAACATTATAAGTATTAGGAATTGTAATATATAATGCGGCGCAATTTTACAAATGCAGCATTGTTACAGAAATATTAAAAACATTTTGGCTTTTGAGAAATGGATTATATATATTCAGTGAGAAATGACAATGAAATCGATTCAACGTCGATTTGATGATTTCGACATCGAATCAACGTCGATTCAATATCGAGAGACAAAAATTGTTAATTTTCTTCTCATAGAATTCTGAGAATTTTTTTAGAATTTTTTAATACCGTATTTTCTCATGTTAGTAAAAATAAGAAAATGCAGTACTAAAAAGTACATAAAAAATTCTGAAAAAGTTAAATCTTAAGAAGAAAATAAACAATTTTTATCTCTTGCTGTTTTTTTGCAAAGTTGATAATACTCGAGTAAAAAATTATTGAACAATCAATATTTGGTGATTTTTAATATCTTGTTAATTAATGTGAAAATTACAAAACGGTAGAGGATTTTTCGACTCAGTTTAGTCCGCTCTATCCCCATGCAAGAATTTTATCATTACTTATCAAACTCTGTATATATCTGCATATAAAGTTTGCAATTAAGTATAAAACATAACAAATATGTAAAATTATATATAAAATTACATATAAAATTATATAAAATATATATTGATTAGTTCTTTTTCTGTATTTTTTTATTTATACCACAAATTGTATTTCAAATTATATTCAGTAATAAAAGAATTATTTTTAATAATAGTTGCGAATACATTGTGCTGCAAAATTGCTACAATATTACAGCGCAATTTTTGCTGAAGGCAAACATTTTTATGATGCTATGACATTGCAACAACATTGCAAATATATTGCGCAATCTATTTACAATATTACAATATTGCAATAAGATATATCTGCAATCATTTTGCAATCTTTCTGTGCTGTATGGGAAGTGATGTTGATATTGACGACTTTCTTCTAACATCAAAATAACTCCAAAATAATTATTAAAAGTTTTAATGTTAAATAGAAACGTAAATGATTAAAAAACGTAACTTAGGATTCTGTTGGGTGATGATTGCGTATCAAACGCGTTCTCGCTCGTAAAGTAACTTGAAAGATCGATCGGCTGAATGATTCAATGCGACTTTATGACTTCAACATGATATATTTCACGATTCGGAACTTATCGATGCAACGTTACGATTCTCGAAATATCACATCAAAGTGATTAATTTCGGTTAACTTCACAATAATCAGATCTGTTCTTTATATACTATAAAATGCTTTCAGAATCGTTCTTTACATTTTTTATATATTTATAACGTACACAATTAAAACGAATTTATACATTCAATGCAGAAATAAAATTCGATATCGTAACTAATTTTATCGAAATATAATTCGAAATATAGTAGAAATATAATTCTATCGAGTTTTTTCTAATTTTTTTTCTCGATATGACTTACTACTTCTCGCCCCAGCCGTCTTTCGCTGAGAGGGCGCCAGTACACGGTGCCAATTCTGCGTTAAATTTCCAAAGAAACCAACTTGTTTCGATTAAATGCTTCCTTATTTATATGACGGATGGATATCTGGACTAGACTCAACACAAGGTGAATATTAATAGTTGAACCAGCTTTTTATCGTGGATAAATTGTAGACACTAGTTTACAGTAAAAAATTGCTTTCAACGTCAAACTGGACTAGATGTTTCTTATAGATTTTTGAATACTGAAACGATACCACAAGCTAAAACATTCTAGTATATCAGATTTTTAAGATAATCGAGATTTAATGTAAAAAAAAGCTTTTTTGAAACAATATTGTATTTGATATTTTTTTTTAAAGAATATTAATTACCTTGAAATTTTGATTAAAAATCATGAATGTATTATTCATCCCTTGTAAAGTATATTTTTTTTCAATTTTGATATCTCTTATTTTTTAGCCAGATTATAAAGAATTCAAATACAGGATTTTTCTAAGATAACAAATTTTCCATTTAACTTTATGTTATAAAAAAATGTAATCAAATAACATAAACAATTTATTTGTTGTATATTAAACCTCAATAATTCATTAATAATGCAAAAAAATCCATTCTTTGTACATTAAATCTCAATAATTCAGAAACAATGTGCCAGTGAGATTAACTTGCGACGTCGTTTTCAATATCCAAAAATCTATAAAAAACATTTCATCTAGTTCGAAATAATTTTAAACAAATTTTTTGTAAACTAAAATCTTACTGCAATTGGAAAGAGCATAAGAACAACACAAAGATTGGGATATAAGATCTATAAGAACTTGATGAATCACACAATTAATTATTCTCGCATTTGACTGTAATTTCTTACGATTTAAGGCTCAAGATATCTATTGTAGATCCAAATTTAAAAACATCTATCTCGATTTTGAACTTTGTTGCCTGGATTCACGCTTTTTTCAATTGCAATCGACAATTTATCTCTCATGATAAAAAGTTGATTTAATCTTTAATATTCACCTTGAATATTATTATATATTATATATTATATAATATATATTACATAAACTTATAAAAAATTAAATATTATCATTATCGATACTTTGTCCTTCCACTGCATTAAAAAAAATCAGAATACCTTAAATGAAACGAGGAATAGAGAGAAACCGGAAACATTGTCCCGAGGGGAATCGAGGGCGGATTATCTAACACAGGCAGGTATGTTTATGCCGTTTTTATTAATAAAACATTTAGAAATTACACTCGTACGATGGTGTCCTTTATAGTTACGGATCATCAATCCAATATTGGTCCTACAAATTAAATTAAGTATAACAAACGATTCCTCTTTTTTCTTTTTGCTTCCTTCCGTCTCCTATTTCATGTCGACAATTATAATCTGCTATATATACATTATATGCAAACATGCGCATACACGAGCACATACATGCAGTCAGAGCCTTATGCACGTGATATTGCGACGTTCCAAAGAATTAGTTGGCGGGAAACTTCCCGAGAGACTTTCTTTTGCAACTTCTCAATTGTTTTCTCTCTTTCTTTCTTCGATCTCATCTTTCTCTCGCTCGATCTCGGAGATCTTTTTTGGACGATCTCCGTACGTCTTCTCCAAGCACTCATATGCGCTAGGAAATCGCATGCTGAGGCAGTGACACGCTTATTTGGCAAGATCCTTTCAGCAAACATCGCATTACAACATCGAGCAGGCTCCGCGGGCATTGTGATCAAGAACAAGAGATCCTTCGCCGTTGTATCTGCGGCAAATGCGCGTAAATCGAGGATTTCAGTCGATGAAAAACCTTGACCTAAATTTTTGATACTGTGGACACGTGAGATTTTTACGCATATTTATTCATACAGCAAAGAATCTTCGAAGGATATATTAAAAATGTTTAGATGTTCCTTTTACAGAAATCTGGCCAATTTATTATCGAAAGAGAGTAATTAATTATTTATTTTGAGTACTAAAAATAACGAGCAATAGTGCTTTTAATACTTAAAATAATAATTATTATCTTTCAGTATTGACCAATATTAGATTTCTATAAAATACAGTTTAAGGATGTTATCCAAAATATCCATATATGCTGTATAAATGTGTATATCGTACCGTTCTCTACGTGAGACTTATGTTATGTTGGAATCAAAGTTATCGTCGTGCCAAAAAAAGACCACTTCGTGGCGTTGTATTTTGCGTGCTACTTTAGGCTCCCAAAACGCGTAAGAAAAAATAAAGATAAACATGGTGTTGTATCGTTGTATCGTTTGAGATCATTAGTTTACAACTAATTAGCGGGAACGGAATATGAAAAGCGTCTAGCGTCTCATTGGGTGACCAGTTTCAACTAAGAGAACGGACTAAAATGTACAAAATTTTTTCGCATTTCGTAAACGATTTTTGTCTTGATCACAATGCTAATCAATTTGTAATGTAATTTATTTTTTTATAGATCACCGCTTTTTACATAATTTCTTTTTTTTTTTTTTAGCCAATCCTCGGGTTTCTTTGTCTCGGCGCGACAAATGTTTGTGCTAATAATTCCAATCAAATCTACCATCTTTGCTATCGAGAGACCAACACGCGTGACGAACTAACATCCCATTCAATACATACGTATATGAGAAAGTTTTATGCTTTATACGCGCGGATACATAAACGCAATGGAAGATACATTGCGGAAGATGAGAATTCGGAGATTCATTCGTCAGCATTCGTAGAGAACAAGACTCGCCCGTAATCAAGGTTCTCAGTTCGACGAAACTTGAACGAAATACTATAAACGCTAACATCGAATGCCATCTCTTTGCTAATTCACGCTGACACGCATCTCATTCATTAAATGCAGGTGATACGATAAAATCATAAATGAACAGTAAAAAAATATGTAGACCCCATTATATATATATATATGACAAATCAAAGTAGCGGTTTATGGTAAGTTCATGATATCGTTCAGTAACATTTATGAAGACGAAGTTCCACTTTCCTATCGTACCCTATTTCGCCACATATACTTCATATACTTTCGTATGTTATATGTTTTGTGTACGCACATAGAAAATTGAATTTATAGAAGCCACGGCTTTGTTACCCATCTACACGCTTGAATACACGCTCTCCTTTGAGAACGCTGCCATTTAGGATTGAGACATCACGAATGCGAATGAACACGAGACTCTCTTGCCACAATTAGACCAACCTGGTATAATCTTGCTTTGTTACAATTATATTGATAGATCTAACAGTGCGAAATTTCTACAAATCAACCACACACATTTCCACATTCCTATTTCTCGCAGATTTTTATACACATGTATTACAGATCTGATCACCAAATCAATCTAAATTTATTTTTCAGAACCAAGTATGAGGCCCGACGACAAGAGAGCTTTGACTCATTACACGCGTGTTCGGCAAGATTAATCATGCAAGGTGCACCTGAGCAATTTGCGGCCTACAAGATATCGTTGACGGAAAATTTCTTCTTTCAAGCCTTGCAGAATTTCAGCACCTTGTGAAAAGAATTCAAACTAACCGGTATGCCCCATAATTGTGCCGACAGGCATTCACGAGCGCGTGCATGTCTGTGATTCTGGCGACATAATGTCCAGAATACTGCACGGGGGGTCACATGAAGAACTCCCTGGATCGGCTAATATGCAGTCACGACGCAGGTCTATCCAGTACCGAGATCTCTATTAGCCTGAGCCCGCGTGTTGTTGGATCTGTTAGCAGGAGGCCACGTGGCTTGTACACTCGATCGTTTTGCTCGCTGACGAACTTGGCGACCTTGCGCAGACACTTTTCATAATGCGTTTCGGTACATATGCTTATCAGATAACCTGTGAGACAGTACAGGCAGCTCTCGCAGTATGTAGAACAACTGGCGCGCTCTGCCTCAGCGAAGTAGTTATTCAACTGATTGATCGTATACTCGAACAATTGTCTGTCTAAC